CACTGATAATACGACAATTTGGTTTGATCTGACCAAATCCTTCCACCCCAAGGGTGGGGGATTCACTGACGTCAGGAGGAGGAGAAGAAGGCAGTGAAATTCGAGACTGTGAGGCCGCTTCGGTTAAGGCCGGTGCCATAGCGGCCATACAACATAGTCTCAGCGAGATGGGTGCCGACATACAAGAACTTCAACGCCCAAGAGCAGCATGGTGATCAATATACGAAGGTCAACGATTTTCTATTTAAAGTATATTTAAGGAAGTTGGCTGTTGAAGATAATAAATGCAGTCACATTTCCTAGTGACCAGATATTAGGATCAATGACGCCCGAATATGCCGATACCTTGCGAACTAATTTACGCACGCGATATGTCAATCACAGCTACGGAACTCCTGAGGTGAAATAACATTTACGATTTCATCAATGTCATTGCTTATTAAGACATTCCACAATCACAAAAACATTTATTAATACATTTACCTACATTCAAAAAAAGTTGTCATGTCCTAAATGGATGGAAAGGACTGAAAAACACGCAGAATGTTATGTCCCACGTGATCAGGCCACGTCCGGGTGATGTTTGCAGTATTTCGGAATATCAAGACACACCATTTTCCTTTCATAAGCCCTTACTAGACACGATAATGCTTCTATTTGCAAGCTTGTTACTTCCTCGAATTCTTCCGATACATTTTGCCACGTTGTATTGGGTCTAATAAGTTACCAAAGGAAACAAAAATGACGTTTTTCTGCCTCTCTTCTTCTCAGTAGGTCATTTTCGAAATGGCGTATACAACTAAACAGGGAAGGCCATGCATAACAAAAATGCGGGATAATGTAGTACGGCAAATTGCACCAATGTAAGGACCCCTCTAACTATTTATTGTTGATTGGTTGCTTTGTGAGTTTGTATTGATTCCATTTACTGTACTTCCTCCTCGTTCAGGTCACATTGATTTAGAGGAAAAAATAATTTTACGCTTAATTTATGTAAAGTATTTCCCTTAAAAAAAATTTTAAAAATTTATACAAGTGTAATGTGATATTGTAGCAAATTACATTACAATTTTATTGAAATAAATTTCTACTTGTCAACTTTACAAAGATAGTGATTGAATTTTGAAGAGCATTGCAAAATACTATACTTTACAGCTTTTACGCAATATTTTCTAACATCATCAAATGTAATTTTTACTTTATTTCTAAACGAAAATGTGACACAATATACATTTGCAAGAAAATTAAAGTTACAATTAACCCATGCGTTGTAAAACCTAGGTCATATACGCATAAATGGCAACGTACATTTTACGAGCATTTCTCGTCTGTTTTCAATAGTGTATTCTAAAGATATAGGTATTAAAGCAAAGTATCAAACGCCATTCAAAAGAGCAGATCGTAATGTACAAGTACTGTAAGGTTTGTATTTTTTTTTTCTTCTGATAATCAAGAATATACAGTAGTTAACATTTGACAAACATGGGTGCCATAATTTAATGTAAATATAACATTTTTCCTTTCCGTCATTACCTTATTTACATTTTTAAAAATGCATGTGATGTATTGAAATATCACAGCTATTGTTTAAAACAGGCTTAGAGAGTACAAAAGTATTTTAAAAAAACCGTTGAATTTCTATTTTTCGCATGCTTTAGCAGTCTTATTTTATCTCATTTATATATTTTATTAGAACTTCGGTATTTTTCGTTTAGAAATAATATATGATGTATTAAATTTAATAAATCCATAATGGCATATGATTTTGCGTTTAAAACTTTCCACTGCCACTGAATTGACATTGTGAAAGAGCGAAAGAGTTTTGGTAATGTACTGAAAAAAATTTACCGCTTGACCACGTTATTAAGTTGTTTTTTTTTCTGAATTATTTTCCGTCGAAAAACAGGTTAGAAATTTACATTGCCTTCTATTTAACATGCGTGATATTTATGCAAATAGTGTTCTCGTGAAAATTGACCGTCAGTAGTTCCGAGTTTTAGTTTATTAAAACTTATCCATGCTTGGCTGGATCAGACAAAATGCTGTGTTGTGGGGGAGGGAATACCCAATAAACGTGCACAAGAATAAAATGATGATCAAATTGCAATTGGCGCGCGCGCGCGCGCGCGCGTGTGTGTGTGTGTGTGTGTGTGTGTGTGTGTGTCTTTTTAACGGGGGGGAGATGGCGGCCCTGCCCCTACCCCTATTCCGTCCCTGCCATGGTGCGCATGACGACTTTGTAAGCCGTTTAGTAAAGACCATGCTACTTTCAATTTGCATTTAAAATGTAAAAAAAAAAAAAAAAAAAAACAAAATCAACAACAATCTGGCATGAGGGACAACAATATATGTAATAATATTAGATAGAGTGGAATATGATATCAGTTAAAACGTAAACACAGTGCCCTGACGTAACCACACAGAACAAAAGAAGTTCATTTGTACCTTAGGCGTTCATACAAAAAATTGTGTGTATATTTCTTAAAATTCTATATTTATCGACGTTTGCAGAATAAATTGTGGATTATCTGCCGAATACATATGGTTCTATATCAACTCCATACTCACTCACGCCGTCTTTCATCTTGAAAAAAAAAGGAAATGCAATAGACTAGACTTGCGTGACAAACGGTGAAGACGACACTATTTGCAAAAACCTGATTATGTCCGTCATTGTGTATTGTTCAAAGCGTTCTCATCAAGGCATACCATATGTGTACATGACGTGCTGTAAACATTTGAGTCATTTTCGTCTCATAAAACTGTCGATGTATGTCATATAATTGAACAAGCTGGGAAACGGTTCCCTGAGAAGGTACCAGTTATTGTCTAGTGTTAGTGTATGTATATCTAATGTGGGCAGGCGAAACCTGTTGTGTATTAGATCTTGCGATGTTTCGTTACTTTAAAGTTTCAGAAATCATGGGCGCCCGCACATATGGACAAAGGGATGGGGCACTTTCCCCACCCCACCCTCCCTTTCACCTCTAAATCCGTCTTGGTCTTCATCCGTAAAGGTTAATAGCTGACCACTACATCTTTGCCCTCCCCCCTCCCTTCCCGTCCGAAAATAAATCTTGGGAATCCCCTGTAGCAATGATACATAATCGGTTGTTCTTCAAAATAAATTTGCAAATCATGAAGAAGATTGTGAGAGGGGGAAAAAAAAGTATGTGGAATGTTTGATCGTTTGGTAATAAATGTTACGAAAAAGCCAATTAAAACCCAACTAATTGATGGTCTTTTATTATTCAAGCAACTGTTTGTGTGGTTAAACTAAAATGAACGAATAAGCTAAAAAGATGGAACTTAAGTCTCCTGCCATCAGAACGAGGTATGATTTCAGTGAGTACTTACAATCAAAATACTGGATCCCACTCTAAATAAGCTATCACCAGAAATAAGAGAGCCACGCCTACACATTGGCAGGAGACACGTGATAAAAACTTCAGTAATTGTTGATGAGATAGTGACATATGAACTTTTGTTAATATTTCAGTGCAAATACAGAAAATGTGATAACCCCTAAAATGGGTGTTGGCTTTAAAAAAAAAACTGTTTAAGACAAGATATTGTAATGGATGACCCTTATTCCAACCTCTTCAGCACATTCATGTTGGACCTCATTTTTATAACAATATTGAATAGTCTAATTAGGGAGTTTTCAATCTCCCTGTTTAACAATAGAGAACACGTGACATGGGATCGGTAGGGAATTTTCAATTCCCCTTATGACACTAGAGAACATGTGATATATCATGTGCCATGTAGGGAGCATTGAGTCTGTTTTTGTAAGAATAACGAACGGTTGATATATGATTGACAAGTTATGGATTTTCCAATCTCCCTATATAACAATAGGAAAAGTAAAGTATATGGTAGTCAAGGTATGGAGTTTCCAGTCTCCCTCTATAACAATTTATAACGGGTGATAATTAATGACACATGTAGCGAGTTTCCAGTCTTCATGTGTGTTTTTATCACCAAATGTCTATTGCGATTGTTTAGTGCATTTAATTTCAGAACTTTTATGGATTAGAGTTCGATTTTTTAATTTAAGGTGCGGATGAGGAGGGAATTGTGTTGGGGTCTTCTTTCAAACCAGGATGTTTGTTTTATAATATGCATAATGCAGTTTTTTTTCTGGGCTTACTTTTAGAAACTGGGGCAAGTCTGTTTTTGAGTAGTATTTGGTCGTTCAAAATGTTTCCCCACCCCTTTAAGAAATATTTTTTTGTGTAGTTCATTTAAGAACTTCAAATATTTATTGATTGTAGCAAATTTTGGCAATTTTCCCAATTTCCGAAATTTTTTTATTTAATACTGTTATTGAAGCGACATTAGACGACGCTATAGGAAGTTAACAAAGAACATATGTTAGGAAAATTAAGAAATGTGGAATTCCATCTTCTAAAGGACAGTAATCCGTCTTTGAGCACTTAGTCATGGACGAGTATCATCCCTTTATAACCTATTTTTAGCAATTTTGCCAGTCAGGCGAGTATGAGTCATCGTTACTTGCGGAAACAAATTTAACCTATGAACCTTGTTGAGTGTACGCAGCGTTATATATAGCCGCAAGGTCGTCTATGTATGAAACTTGTTATCATGGACCGGCCTTGATAATGTTCCCAATGTACTCACTTATTTCAGTAATTACGCACACTAGCTGGTGGTTCAGATTCTGAATAGAGAAGTATAAACACAATGGAATTGTTTGGTACTTGCTGCACTGTCCCTCCACACGTGTATGATATGAGATTTGTGTGATTTAGATCTTTTAATGTAGCTTTAACAATTTTTCAGTCATATCACTACGATGTCTGCAGTGTGACAGTTTATAGTGATGTCTTGCACTGGAGCATCATTCCAGACATGTATCATTATATCCTACCCAGTCACATTATACTGACACCAGGCCGACCATTCCCAACACCAACCTCTTAATACTGAGCGTCAAGCGAGGCAGCTGTTTGTACCATTTTTATAAGTCTTTGATATGACTCGGTCGGGAGTCAAACCCGCGACCTCCAGCATCCAAAAGCGAACGCTCCAACCACTAGGCCACCGGAGCTGTTAAATTTTATAACTTTTAATTTGAACCATTATTTAATACTGCATATAATATAATTCATATTTTTAAATAAAGTATTTATTTTTAAAATTATTTTTCCATATTCAAAATGCACTTTATATACATAACACGTAAAATGCAATCGTATAATTTATACACACAAATAATATGGTGTTGAATCGGTACTCATAATTTACTTCTTCCTGTCAAAAGTCAACGTATTCCAAATTAAATAACATAGTAGTGATTCCATTTCTTATGTCATTTTAATCAATAGAAAAGCTCTATTAATTTTAAAGACACATTCAGCTTTTGCTATCAATATCTAATGATAAACATTAAAAGTCAGATTCCTAATTAAACATATTTCCCACCCGATGGTTACGTAATTTAAACATTATACAAATTTTGATAGTAGAAACAAAATAATTGCTGTCTACAAATCAGCAATAATCTAAATTAGTTCTTTTGTTTTAATTCATGGGCTTCCAGGCTTGATGGAGAATGCTTTGTGCCATGTATAATTGACACACAGTTTCTAAATGCTTTGAACATGGATTGATGCAGCTAAAAGTAGGTGGGTGGGGGACAAACGTCGTATTCATCTTTTAAGTTTTATGGGGATGCAGCCCAAACAAGTGTCCCCCCCTTCCCCTATGAATAGATGACTATGATTGACACGTCCAATTGATTTTGTCTGTGGATTGATATAGCTCAGGGGTTTTCCAGCTGTGGTCCGCGGACCCCTTGGGGTCCTTCTCATGTTGCCAAGGGTTCCGCAAGTAAACAGGGGACCAGACTATTCCACAAGCAGGTCCCAAAAAAGAATAAAAATAGTATATTTTCAAAGTTTTCATTATCATCAACAATTATAAACACAATTGAGTAATGAACCGTCTCTTCTGTATTGACTCTGTTCTATTATATGGTTATTACTTACTGATGTCTTACATGGATTACATATAATAATAATAATAATAATAATAATAATAATAATAATAATAATAATAATAATAATAATAATAATAATAATAATAATAATGTCGATTGGCCATATTTATTGGATAGGCTGATAGGGGTCCGCCATCTGACCACGACATGCTACGATGTCCACAGCTTCAAAAAGTTTGATAAGCACTGGTCTAGCTGAATGCTTTGGACCTTGTGCTGGTTTACTATATGCTCTGTATTCTCTGGAACATAAATTAACACATCTACATGTTTTGGACCTTTGATTGATTACATACAAATGCTTTGGACTATGAATTGACATATATTTGTAAAAACAATTTAAGTTGCCATAAAGTTGCAAAAACAATTAAAGATCACAGTGACCATGTTTTCACTGTGGTATTGCTATAGTTTTTCATGATAGATGATTTTGGATAAAATTCATCAAAATATGGACCAATTCAAAAGCAAAACAAAACGAAAGGGTACCATGAATAATACATTATTTTCTTTCCATGCGTTTAATGACCCTCAATCGTTAATAACAACTGAAATTTTGTGCAGAAACCTATCATCTTCGTTCTGTCACATAACCTTGACCTTTGATCTCTCCCCCCCCCAATAAAGTCAGTAAACGTCTTTTTTCCTTATTCATTGGTTTTGGGTATGTGTCAGATATCTTCTAATATTGTACATAAAAAATTTCGTTCTTTCTTTTATAATAACCTTAACCTTAAAGTTTTGGCCCTAAAATTGAAAGCGTTCCACCTTGCATGGAAATCATCTTGGATGCCATAGATAATAGACAATCGGAATTATTTTTGGAGATGAAATGAATGTAATAATGGATGACTAGACATGATAACATAACATGCTCTATCATGTTGTGGACATAATTAAAATCAGTTATAAATTTCAAATCTCCAGGTACTTAAAGAGTTATATATAATCAATCTATTCAATTTGAGAATGAGCATTTGTCTTTTTTAAGCCATCGCTGTATTGTCCTATTATCGGCCATTTTATTCACTAAGAAATTATAGGCAGCTTGAAGTGTATATTGCCTATCACATCTGTATTTCACACCAAACCGTTTAAAATAATAAATCAAGCAGCAAAACAAAGACTAGCAGAGTTATCTTCAGGTTGGTACTATTAATTGTACTGGTGGTTATTTGTACTCACCTTTCTTGTTCAGTTATTTTTTGTCGTGGCAAGTTAGCACTTTTTGGTCTTGTGTTAGTATTTTTCCTGCTGTGTTAAGTTTATTGTGTTCTTGGTTTATCTTAGTTTTTGCTTCAGGATAGGATAGATGATTTGAGTTCATTAGCTCTTTGGTGTTTATTTTTCTAATGGGCTATGGGCATTCAATAGCACAAGGATGATGATGGCACCGACATTTGTGTTTTCTGCATGTGCCCTGGTGTTGTCCCCCCCACAGTTGGCAGACCTGAGCGGGTATCTGCATTGGCGAGCATAGTGTATCCAATGCTGACATTTGTTACAAAACTGTAGTTTGTTGACAAACGGTTCTAGACGGTGACGGACACCTGAGGGGCCTAATCTAACTAGGGGTGGCGTTGTCGATTCTAAGACTGTCTTGATTGTGCCATTTTTGTTTTTAAGTAGATATTGCTATAGTGATCTCAGTGCCATTCTCTTTTAGGTTCTTTGCTAGAGTGGGGCTGTCTATGTCTTTGTTATGTCCTGTTAATATTAGCACTGCTTTGAAAATGGTAACATGCGGTGGATTGGGTTATGTATTGTTTTTGCATTCTGTAGGTGTATCCTATTGGTGTTACTTTGTTTTATTTATTAGTTTTTGTATCTTGTAAAGTCTTGTTACTTTTATTTTAACAGTTCTATTCGTTCCATTTGTAATAATTTTTCCGCATGGTTCAGGGTTCTACAGTGGAAAATTAGATATTCTGTTCCTGGCCAAATAAGTTTGAACTGCCCCTGATGGACTCATGTTAGGGCACCTACGATAATATTTGTACTTAGCTTGAGCATTTGGGTGCTATATCTGTTTATTAAAATAGTGTGTTCAGAAGTTGAATGGTATTTACGATCTCTTGGGTTCATATTTGCTTGTTTCCGGTACATTCCTATAGTGTTGTTACTGCATTGCTTTTGGGGGTTGAGTTTGATATTTTGAGGTGTGTGTTTTCGCTATGACTTGTTTCCATTGTTTTTGTTGTGGACGCTTGGTATTGGTTGGGATGGGGGTGTATTGGGAGTTATTTGGATATTGTTAATATTTGTATTATTATTTGATGCTCCTGAGGGGCAAGGTACTTGACTGTAGTGTATTTTTCCCTTGCATTTTATGGATGGATTTTCTTTTATTTATGGGTTGTTTTTTTTCTTTCTAGGTAGGGTAGGACTGGTGTTGAAAGGGAGGTGCTACTTGATTGTAGTCATTGCTTTAATCGACATGTTTAGGTGTCTGGGGTATATTTATGGTTGGTTGATATTTTGAGGGTATTGGTATTTGGCTGATATGTTACTATATTTTTATGGATCTTTTGTGTTTTTGTTTCTTGGTTTATTTGTTTGATTTAGATTTGATGTTGAGGTCGGGGTTTGTATTAATTTCACATGTTTGATAATTGTTTTGCAGAGTGTTTTTGGTAGGAGATTTAGCAATATTTTTGTATGTTGTCTTTGTTTAGTTTTACGTGAGTTAAATAATCAAGTTTGGCGGAATGAGATGATGATGGGGAAGTGATCGCTACCTAGTGTAATTTCTTGGTCTAGCTGTGCAAATTTGGGTGTACAGATATCGTCAGATCATTTGCAGTTAGAGTGCCATCTACCGGATCCAGTCATATTGGTGACATCCGCATGTGTCATAGGGATTGTTTCGTCAAGATCTTCATGCACTACTTTTTGTTGTTGGATCTTTGAATCTTACAGGCGAGCTTATGCCCAGATTATTGCCTGCAGCATTGAGTAAGTTTCGCTTGCAATTGCAGGTTGTAGAGTTAGTTGCATAATTTGGGGTTTGATTGTTACATGTTTGTGTTGTGGATTATAGCTAATGAGCTAACATGTTAATAGTGACGTGTTAGTTGGTTCACACTTTTGGTATGTTATAGGGTTATGGGTAGCCATTTTGTCTATTTTGTTCCATCTCCGGACTATATTTTTCCTATTTTTGTAGGCCATTTTTGTCTTTCTTCACTGTTGATTAATTTTGAAGTTGATTATTTTTAGGATATTCTATAGTTGTTTATATTTCGTGGTTTGTTACAGTTTTTATGTTGAGCTGATTTTGAATTTTCAATTATGTATCTACTATATTTTGCGTAAACAGAGAGAATGAGAGATTGTAATATTGGTGTTAGATATGTGGTGTTTAGTTTGAAAAGACAGAAATCTCCTATATCAGAAAATCTGCGCAGAGGTTGTCCAGTGCTAGACAACTTGCGAGGATTTGACCAAGTGTACTCTAGTCTGGATTTTGACCAAGTGTACACTAGTCTGTCTCACAGTATCTGTTTGTTGGAGATTTTGTTAGTAGGTTACTGAATGAGAGATAGTAGTATTGACATATGTTTGTTTTCCTCAACTGAAAATCTCACAGACTTTATAGAGCTTGATTATCTACAGGAACCCAGTCCAGATATGAACTAGTTTGATTCACAGGAATCCAGTCCAGATGTGTACTAGTTTTATTCACAGGAATCCAGTCCAGATGTGTACTAGTTTTATTCACAGGAATCCAGTCCAGATGTGTACTAGTTTTATTCACAAGGACCAGTCCTGATATGTACTGTTATGTTTCATAGTATCTGCATGAGTACAAAAAAAAAAAAGAAGTCAAAATGGTTTTAGTCAGAAAAAAGGAATATTGAATGTTACGAATTTAGGAAAGGAAAGAGAGTGTAGCCAATATTTAGGAATTTTAGTTAAGCAAAGAAATTAGTTGAGTTCGTAAGATTCCAGTTAGAGAACATCATAGTGTATATAAATGGTCTAATATAATTTCCTATCACGTTTTGTTGATTCCAGGTAGAGTCCTTTGTTCTTTGATGGATCCGGTAT